TTGTAGCCAAGAACCAGGGCTTTCGATCTGTCATAGAAACACCTTAGTAGAAAATCGCTTCCTGTCTCGTAAATTGCACCAAAGTCAAAAAAATTGAATTTTTGGGCGTAAATTTCCGCGGGCCCCGTTTGTGTTACGGAAATTTACGCCCCGAAAAATTTCCTGATGTTGGAGAAATAATATTTTAACTTTTTTTTTGGAAGAAATTGGATAACTGTACAAGTCGATGAAAGAAAAATGAAGGAACCTGAATGTAATTCTGTATTTATTTCAAGGCAACAATTTGCAAGAATACCTTCAAATGAAGAATTGTTTAGTTTATATCTAAGTGAAGAAGAAATTTCCAATGAGAAACAACTACCATATTCTCCTGAAGTTAAGAAACTTTTGAAAGAATTTAATAATACTTTTTCTACTACTTTACTTAACAAATTACCTCCAGAAAGAAGATGAGATCATGTAATTAATCTTATCCCTGGCATGAAACCTTCATCTCGACTTGTCTATCGATTGTCTCATTATGAAATGAAAGAATTAAAAGTTCAACTCTCTGACCTTTTGAAAAAAGGATTTATTCAACCTTCTGTATCTCCTTTTGGTACTCCTGTCCTATTTGTTTATAAAAAGGAAGAAACCTTGAGACTTTGTGTTAATTATTGAGCTCTTTACAAGATGACCCTCAAGAATTGTTACCCGCTACCTCACATTGAGGATTTACTGAGCTAACTTGTTGGTGCTAAATACTTTTCCAAATTGAATTTATATTCAGAATATCACCAAATTCAAACCAAAAAAAAAGATATTTATAAAACTACCTTCTGAACTTGATATGGTCATTATGAATTTTTAGTCTTACCCTTTGAATTAAACAACATTCCCGCAACCTTTATGACTCTAATGAATGATATTTTTCATGAATATCTTAATAAATTTGTGGTTGTATATTTAGATGACATTCTAATATACAATAAAACAAAAGAAGACCATCTGAAACATTTGTGCAAAGTATTATTAAAACTTAGAGAACATAGATTATATGCCAAATTAAAAAAGTGTGAACTATTCAAAAACCAAAGTTGAATATCTTGGACATTATATATCTGGTGAAGGAATTGCTGTTAATGAAAGGAAAGTAGAAGTAATTTAAAAATGGCTTAACCCTATCAACTTAATAAAACTTGAATTATTTTTGAAACTAATTTCATATTATAGGAAATTTGTAAAAAATTTCTCTGCAATTGTCTCTTCTTTAACTACTTTATACAAAAGGATATACCATATGAATGGAAATCAAACCAACAAGAAGCTTTTGACAAATTAAAAGAGAAATTAACCTTTGCACCTGTTTTACTTATTCCAGATCAAACCAAACCTTTTACTGTGACTATCGATGTCTCCGATACTGCCATTGAAGCTGTGCTGAGCTAAAACCATAATAAAGATAACCAACTATTGCATTTGAATCTAGAAAATTGAATTCTGCTGAATTAAACTATGTAATCCATGAAAAGAAACTACTTGTAATAGTTCATACCATTAAACTTTGATATTCATATCTTGAAGAAAAACTATTTACAATTATTACAGATCGAGCAGCCTTAAAATTTATTAAATTACAATCAAATCTTTTAAGAAGACAAGCTAGGTGACATGAAGTCTTACAATCATCCAACTTCAATGTTAAATACTATCTGGGAAAAACAAATGTAGTAGCTGACACATTATCTTGAGTTCCTCAACTCTCAAATATTAATACTCTTAACACCAATCTGATTGACAAAGAATTACTGATTAATGAATATAAGAACAATTTATATTTTGAACTAATTTATTAAGTATTAACTTTCAATGAAAATAAATTCCAAGCACACAACTTTGAACTTTATGATAAATTAATTTATCTCAAAAGTGAAAAAAGACTTGCAATCCCTAATAATAAGGAATTATGAATACTTTTTTTACATGAATGTCATAATTCAATTATTGCAAGACATTTGGATACTGAGAAAACTTTGAAGTTAGTTCAATAAGATTATTTTTGACCAAGAATAGGAAAAGATATAAAGAAATATGTAACTAGTTGTAACTTATGTCAAAGAAACAAAGCTTCAAACAAAGTGTCTGCCAGATTATTACAACTCCTAGATATATCAGAATGTTGATAGGACTATATTACAATGGATTTTGTAGTACAATTAAACAAATATATTTTATTCCTATTACTACTGATGTAATAGTCCCACAAGTGGCTGAAATATTCTTTAATACTATATTTAAAAACCATGGACTACCTAAAGTCATCATTTCTGATAGAGATTCTAAATTTACCAGTCACTTTTGGAAAGCACTTTTTGAAAAATTGAGAACAAAACTTGCAATGTCAACCTCTCATTATTTACAAACAGATGGCCATACAGAATGTATGAACTGTACAATGGAAGAAATGTTATGAGCTTATACAAATTATCAACAAACCAATTGGGATGAATTACTACCTGCTGTAGAATTCACTTATAATAACTCTAAAAATTTATTTACTGGATTTATATCTTTTGAAGTTGATTTAGGACAACACCCAAATACACTCACTACTTTTGCATCTGGAACACAAACAAATGTCACCACAACTAATGACTTCTTATTAAGATGGAAAAATATTATTAATCTTAAAAAAGATAATTTACATCTAGCCCAGGAATGACAACAGTAGTATATCAACAAATATCATTATGAACTTACCTTTGAAGAAGGTAATAAAGTTCTAGTAAATGCTGTAAATATTAATGATCTTGTACAAGCTAACTGACCAACTCGCAAGCTTGCCCCTAAATTTATAAGACCATATAAAATTGAAAAAGTTATTTCTACAACTGCATATTGACTAAAATTACCTAATAATCTTAAAATTTATCCTGTTTTCCATGTATCAATGCTAAAACATATAAAGAAAATTTAAACAACTTTAACCATGATATTCCACTTCCACCAGAAGTTATTCCTGAAACTAATGATGAGGAATATGAAGTTGAAATGATTTTGGACAAGAAATTAGTATGTAGAAAATCCTTCTACCTGGTCAAATGGAAAGGCTACCCCTTATACAATGCCATGTGGGAACCTAAGGAAAACCTCACTAATGCTACTGATGTAGTAGCAACTTTTGAGAATTCACGAGGTTGTTGAATTCTAAGAAGGGAGGAATGTAACAGTTTTTTTTTGTCACATTTTTTATGTAATATTTTATATAGTTTACGCTTACCTTATTTTATTTTATTTTATTTATTTATTTCTTTTTACTTTTATCTTTTTATTCTGATAATGAATAATAGTATATGAGATTAACTTTAGATTTACAATGTGGTAATCTCATGTGTTAATTATTTCATTTCTATTTTATTTTATTTCTTTTATTCTATTTTATTTATTATATTATCATATGCAACCATCCGGATTGGTCTTATAAAACCTAAAATATTATTTATTATATATTTATATTATGTAATACTAATTATGTATTTTTATATAAATATAAACATGAATAATAAAGATACAAGCAAGTCTTAAAATAATTTAATTATAAACCACAAACTTTGTTAATAAATATTTGTTGATATTTATTTTCTAAAATGAATTAGTAGATTTGTTACAAATGGCTTTGTAATTATAAAATTAAAGTTTTGGATTGGCCTGTTTGATCTCCAGATTTAAACCTATAGAATATTTATGGAATAAAATAGATCATTATCTTTGCCCTGAACAAATTTTGGATAAAGAAAATCTGTAGAACAAAATTCAACAAGTTTGACAAGAAATTGATATTGATATATGTACCAATTTGATTCACTCTATGCCAGAAAGAATTCATGACATAATCAATGCTCGGAGAAGGTATACAAGATGGTAGTATACTTCATTTTCAATATAGTATAAAAAAAAATAAAATACATTAATTCAAATGCACAGAATAATTTGAATCTTATTCATTATGAAATAAATAATGTGACAGCATTTTTTTAAAAAAATTTTATTTTTTAAAAAATTTTTTTTTTTGATTTTTTTTTTAATTATTTATTTAAAACTATAACTGTTGAATGATATTTAAAAAATAAAAGGAATGAAACTAATAAGTTTCGCAAAAAAAATACTTTTTTAAAATTGAAATTATGTTGCATTACAAATGATGCCACTGTTGTATTTGTATTTTGACCTGAATATTTATTATATTCATATTCATAAAGATGAATAGTAAACTACATTAATTGTCACATTAATTATCATTCCAGGTTAACAGTAAATTCAGTGACTTATTCAAGTTCCTAGATAAATTTGATAGATGTAATAAATTCTGGTAATATTATGATACATCTGCATCTATATTTTTATATTATAATCTAAATTAAAATCTAATATTTTTTTAAAAAAAAAAATTTATATACTGCATAATAAAAATATGTAAATATTTTTTCTTGATGAACAAAAAAATCAAACCAATTATCAATTTACTATTATTTGTTGGAACATGAACCATTCTGACAATGTGATGAAAAATATTATGAACTTGATTTCATTATAATGAAAGTGGCTTGTGAATGTTATTTTTTGTAAAAGAAAATATTTTCAATCGAAGTCATCAGAAAAGCTTATAAGGCAAAATATTCCAGATGCATATAAATTACATAAATTTTTTTTATGTGTAAAATTTCATAGAAATCATTAAAAAAATAAAACCAACATCAAAGTAAATTGATGGAGCAATAATATATATATTTTCATTTCCTATTTATCACCATATATGTCGTCATTATTAAATGCAATAATATCTTTTTACAAAATATTAAAAAAATATATAATAAAATAATCAATTTATGTATGACATTCTTTGCTTTTGACATCAGGAAATTTTTTTAGGTGCAATCTTTGTAATATTATGACACCTACATAATATTTACATTATTTATGCAAGGCCATTTTGACCTTAACCCATAATATGTTATACATTTTAGTGCTAAAAGAGTAAAACACATGTCATCTTATAGTTCAGAATTAGGACTTTCATTCAGTTATTAGAATTCCTTAGTCAAAATCCCTCTCTGTTCTACAAATCGCAATCAAAGTCAAAAAAAAAGAATTTTTTTTTGTGTAAAAATTTTGTGGAGAAATTATATAAAAATTTTGTAATTTTTGTGATACTGTAATATTATAACTACTGTATATTGTAAAATTTATATTATGTATGCATAAATAAATACAGTCAACTTTCGATATAACGAAACCTAAGTTTTTAGTTATAAAATTATAGTGAGAATTCAAGGAGATTAATTGACTGCTTTATTGGTTAAATATTATGCGTTGGAAAATTCGTTATAAAGTGACTTCGTTATATCAAGTTGCCTGTAGATAATCGACAAAATATAGTATTTATTTATTAACAAATTTTGTAATAAAAAATGAACAATTAATAAAATTTTTTTCATAATTTATTCCAAATGGGTGGACTATTTATTATAGGAATTTAAATATCTAATTTTAAAATCCGCATTTTTATTGCTCCAATAAAAAATAGACTGGTAATCTATTTGTTGTACCTATTTTGTGTCGCCATAGCCACAACAATCACTTTATGGCATTTGACAAAAAAAAAAAAAAATGCACGTTCACTGTGGTGTAAATTAGCCTCCAAAAATATTAAAAATATACTATATATATATTTCTAAATCAATAAATGGATTTGGATTTGAAATTTACGATTAATCAAATAATAAAAAAAATAAATTCAACAGCAGTCATATTTATAAAGAATGCCTAATGAAAGCACTATTAATCATTTATCACCAATAGAAGACACTTTTCAATCCCAACTTTCTTTTGATTCTAGAATATCATCTCTTATTTATGAACAAGATATAGATACTCAAACTACATCCTACATTATTCAAGAACAAGAAATTCAAATTAAATCCAGTACACCTTCTAATGCACATGTAAAAAGTAAAGTTTGGGATTATTTTACTAAGCCATATGGACCATCCAAAAGTCGCAAAACAAAATGTTCTATTTGTAAAATTGAATTTTCATATCATGGTGCACCTTTCTCATTAAAATATCATTTGAAAAATAAACATAATATTGACTTGTCCACTAATTTAAGTCAAGTGAAAAGACAATCACAAAAAATTCCAAGTCAGCAATCAAATTTTTCTCCTTATTCTGAACCATCTTTCCCTTCTGAGAATGAAGAAGCTATTGAGTTTATTAAGGATTTATTTGAATTTTTCATTGATGTTCCAGCAAAACAGATTTTAGAAATACAACCAACTACGATCAAAGATTATATTAGAGAACATGAAAAAAATTCAGCCCAAATTCTACATGAAATGATTAGGTATCCATCTCATTTTTGGTTCGCTAGCCTCATAGGATTTTTTTATCAATACGGCATTGGGACAGTTGTTGATTATCAAATGGCTTTTAAATTCTTTAATTTAGCAGCCAATGAAATAATTGATATGAAGAACTCCTCCTTGAATCTTTTAATAAGAAAATTTTACAAGATTAACAAAGAAATGGGGAATATCCGTCTTGCTCATATGTACAGAAAAGGTGTAGGTGTTGAGAAAGATATGGAAAAAGGATTTCAGATCTATTCTAAAGTTGCAGATGAAGGGTCCCATGTAGCTTTAAATAATATTGCATATTGTTATCAGAATGGGCTTGGTGTTGAAAAAAATTGCGCAAAAACTTTTGAATTTTATTTGAGATCTGCAGAAAAAGGAAACTTTGTAGCACTATCTAATGTTGGTCGGTGTTATGAAATTGGAATAGGAATAACAAAGGATAAAACTAAAGGATTTCAATGTCATATAAAATCTGCTCGTGCTGGAAATATTTATGCAATGCACAATGTTGGGTGTTTTTATCAAAGAGGTATTGGCGTGGGTAAAGATGAAAAAGAAGCATTTAAATGGTATCTGAAGGCTGCCGAAAAAGGATTTCCTATATCACTACATTATGTAGGCTTTTGTTATAGAGATGGCGTTGGAATTAATAGGGATGAAGTGAAAGAATTTGAATGGTATAAAAAAGCAGCAGAAAATAATTTTACTAGTAGCCAATACATGCTTGGAAGTTGCTTTTATGGAGGACATGGGACTAAGAGAGATATTATAAATGCCATCTACTGGTTAAATAAAGCAAAGGAAAATAAAAATACATGTGCCAATAGATTATTAGAAGAAATAATTAATGAAATGATATAATAGTTGAAAATAAACGAATTTTTAATTAATCTATCTTTTACTGTAAGAAGATTAAGACATTATTTTTTGTTAACCAATTTTTTTTCCCAAGCAATCATATTTTTCTCATTAAAAATCTCCAATATATTTTTAAATATCTTCGTAATTATATTTAAGGTAAAATAATTTTTTATAATCGTATTAAATAAATTAATCTTATTTAAATAAATAAATTTGACTTAAAAATGAAATTTGAGAACTATCCTTAGTTGTTTGCATAGTTTAGGCTATATAAACAGTCTTTCTTCTTAATAATGAATCCCTTTTTTCTGAAGATGACAGCACTAAATTTATAGGTATTAAATTGTTTTTAATTAAAATTGAAGCAACGAAAGAATAAAATAAGCAAATAAATTTTTCGCTTTACAACAATGAAATAAAATTTATTTATTTGATAATTTATGCGTGCGTACACGATGCTTAAATAATGAAAATTATCTTTAAGCAATTTTTTATACAGTGTAATTTATTTGTGTAGTACACATAAAAGCCATTGTAATTCAGTATAATAATAATGTCTCAAGAAAAGACACCCGAAAAGTATTGGATACCTGGATAGACAATTTAATTATTGAAGATGCCATTCAAAAGAAAATATTACATTTTATTTATACCCGAATTTGAGAATGTGAAGTTGATTGAAAGAAATGATTATTAAGCGATTTTTGAAACTTCTCAAAAGGCTGTTGCTCTTAAATGATTTCTTTGAATGATAAATTTACACTTTGATAATTTATTCTATAACTTGAATTTGCGGTTAATATTTTAAATTGAAAAGATTAAAAGACATCGAAAATTGTAAAACTCATGAAAGTATTCTAAAATTCTATGCATTACTATGCAAGATAAAAATATGATATTTATTTATTTTATTTATCTATTTTTATTAATTGATTTTTATTTTATAGAAATATCAATAGTTATATGGTTATCTTTAAATAATTCTAATAATGGTTCTCTTCGTAAAATATTTGACAAATATTTGCATTAGAATGATGGAAATTCTTGTTATACTGTATATGTTTGTGTCACCATAACATCACCTTGTGACATACGCTCACGTGCACAATCGTGTAAATTATCCTCCAAAAATAATAAAAAAATATGATTATTAATTCAATTAAAATATATTTATATATTTCTAAATCAATAAATGGATTTGGATTTGGATTTTTACTATAAATCCGCTTAATCAAAAATAAATAAATTCGACAACAGTCGTATTTATAAAAATTTTTTGCGATTAATCAAATTAATCAAAAATAAATAAATTTTAAGCGGCCATATTTTATAATTTAGCATGTCTAATGAAAGCAGTATTAATTATTTCTCTCCAATAGACGCTTTTCAATCCCAATCTTCTTTTGATTCTGGAATATCTCTTCATCATGAACAAGATATAATAACTGAAACCACGTCAGCTCTTATTTATGAACAAGATAGTGATACTATTATCGATGGACAAGAAATTCAAATTGAATCCGGTACATCTTATAATGCACATGTAAAAAGTAAAGTTTGGGATTATTTTACTAAGCCATATGGTCTACTCAAAAGTCGAAAAACAAAATGCTCCATTTGTAAAATTGAATTTTCATATCCATGGTTCAACTTCCTCATTTAAATACCATTTGAAAAATAAACATAAGATTGACATGTCCACTAATTTAAGTCAAGTGAAAAAACAATTACAACAAATTCCAAGTCGACAATCAAATTTTTCTCCTTCTGAAGCATCCGAGAATGAAAATAATTTATTACAATATAGTAATATTTCTCTTGCAATTAGAAATTGAACCTAATGATATTTGTGCATTGATAGTTAGGGGGAAAGCTTATTACAATATAGACAAATATGAAGAATCTATTTCAGATTATAGTAGAGCTATAGAAATTGAACCTAATAATACTTATGCATTGATGCTTAGGGAAGATGCTTATTACAATATAGACAAATATGAAGAATCTATTGCAGATTCAAGTAGAGCATTAGAAATTAAACCTAATAATGTAGATGCATTGATAACTCGGGGAAAAGTTTACGAAGAAATGAGCAAATATGAAGAATCTATTGTAGATTTAAGTAGAGCTTTAGAATTTGAACCTAATAATGCATTTGCATTGATAATTAGGGAATATGCTTATTACATGGTAGACAACTATGAAGAATCTATAGCGGATTTAAGTAAAGCATTAGAAATTGAACCTAATGATGTTTTTACATTGATATTTAGGGGAAAAGCTTATTACAAGATAGGAAAATATGAAGTATCTATTGCAGATTTAAGTAGAGCTTCAGAATTTGAACCTAATAATGTAGATGCATTGATAATTAGGGGAAAAGCTTATTACATAATAGGCAAATATGAAGAATCTATTGCGGATTTAAATATTGTTATAGAAATTGAACCAAATAATACAAAAGCACTACAAATTCGCAAAGAAATTCATATATTGCAGATTCAACAAAAATTAAATTTTCATTGATATGAATAAATTATCAAAGTAAATAATTTCTCGCAGACTAAAATATGAGAAGGAATTAACTTTAGCCTAGTGATAATTTTATATTTATTTTTCATATATTTATTATATAATATACTATAAATAGTATTTTAAATCTACTAATTTATTGAATAAAAAATATTAATTTCATTTAAAATCAAATTTTTCTGATCGAATTAAATAATATCTCTGAAAATACAAGACTATCTAAAGAAAATTATCAATCTATCACATAATTGCTATATGTATTAACGCAAGCAAATAAAGATCAAGATATAAATCTTTTTGTGATACCTATCAATATATTTTATTTATATACTGTATATCTTTCTTTAATCCATGCAATATTTACATTGAAGTACATATTTGGCTTGAATATTTAGCACACTAAATTACATATTCATATCAATAAAAAATAGAATTGACACAAAAAGTAAACAGGCAAAATACTTATCATATTAATTTTCATTCAGGGTACAATTTGTTGGATGAATTGGTCCAAGTTCCTGTAAAGATGAATTCTGGGCGGTATTAATAAGTAAAGTATAAAATAGAAGATTGATCATTGGATAAACTCAATTAAGACTGTAATTTAGAATATTTATATCTGTTGTTATTTTAAAATCTACTAAGTAAAGCAATGTGAACATTCTGCTTAAAAAAAAAGGATTTACAGTATGTACTGTATTGTTATTTTTTCTTGTTGATGATCAAAAATTATATTGGAGAGCAAAGAATGAATCCAGCCGAAATTTTTTTATGATATCCATCTCATTATTGGTTCTCTAGATTCATAGGTTTTTTTTTACCAGCACGAAATTGGGACTGTTGTTGATAATCAAATGGCTTTTAAATTCTTTAATTTAACAACCAATGAAATAATTTATATGAATAACAACTCTTCAAATCTTTTAATAAGAAAATTTTATAAAATTACAAGGAAGCGGGTAATATCTATCTTGAACATACATATGTATATGTCCTCAGATTGTAATGGCATTGAGAAAGATTTGTAAAAGGATTTTAGGTCTATTCTAAAGTTGAAAATGAAGGGTTCCATAGAGCTTTAAATTGTATGGAATATTGTTATGAGATGAGATTTTGTAAATGAAGAAAAAGAAATTGAATTATATTTGAGAAAGCAGAAAAAGGAAATCTTTTAGCACAATCTAATATTGGTTTTTGTTATGAGAATGAAATAGGAACAGCAATCGATAAAATTAAAGAATTTCAATGTAAGATAAAATCAGCTCATGTTGGAAGTTATTAATGCAATGTATCGTTATTTACAACAATGGTATAAATATCAGTAGAGACAACAAAGAAACATTTAAATGTTATCTAAAGGCCGCTAAAAAGGATATCCTTTGTGCAATATTATTAAGGAGATCGTTATGAAAGGGGTTGTGGAATTGATAGAGATGAAGTGAAAGCATTTGAATGGTTTAAAAAAGCTGCAGAAAATGACGATGTCGATGTTGACAATCAATACAGACTTGGAAAATGCTCATAAAAGATATGCGACTAAGAAAGATACATATTATAAATGCCGTCTACTGGTTAAAAAAAGCATAGGAAGATGGAACTCATATGCCAATAGATTATTAGAAGAAATAATGAGTAATATGATGTAATAGTTAAAAAACAAATTTTAATTAAATCTTTCTTTTGCTGTTAAATGATTATGACATTGTTTTTGTTAACCAAACCTCTTTTCCCAAGCAATCATATAATTCTCATTAGAAATATTCAAAATATTTTCTAAATGTCGTAATTTTATTTAAAGTAAAACTAATTTTATATCATTGTATCAGTGTTTGAAATACAAATTTTAAATCCTGTGCGGAATATACACAACACAATTTAGAATTCTATATGCAAAGATTTGTGCGGATGTTTTTTAATGTGCGGAGTTTTCAAATTTTGTGCTAGTGCACATTCCGCACATTGAATTTCAAACACTGCATTGTATTAAATAAATTTGTATAAATTAGTCTTATTTAAATAAATAAATTGAACTTAAAAATGAAATCCGAAACGTCTTTTTTTTTTTAATAAAATGATTTCCTTTTATCTGAAGATGACAGCATTAAATTTATAGGTCTAATTTAATTTTACTTTATTTTAATAATAATAGAAGTAATTCCAGAATTTCTTAGTTTATTTATAATAATGAATTATGATGCTTCACGATTAGATGTTGAAAGTATCGATGAACTTCTTGGAAAAGGTTTTGTTTTTATAAATTTATTTTAGTTAAATTTTTGAGTGAGCCAATTAAGGAAATCTAGATTGCATTGGTGATGTGAAAAATCATTTGGAAAAAATTTAATTTATTTCTTTCATGAATTTAAATTCTATAATTTATTATTTTCTTTTTTTTAATTTTATTTATTTTTTAACTTTAAATACTTTAATCACTTTAGATCTTATAATGCATGGAAGGTGTCTTGAATACAATTAATTTATTAATGATTTACAGTATGTATTATTTTATATTTACTTTATTAAATTAATTCTCCTTTTTTATTTAATACAATGACTAATTTTATCATTATATTTTTTTTAACTTGCAATGGTGATGAACTAATGCAAATAATATATTCGATAGTGTTTGTACATTTTATTTTATTCTTCTAAAATTTTTACAAATATTTGAATTGCTTACATAGTTTCTTTTACTCTATTTAATATAGGCAAAATTTGCAGATTTAATAAATATTAAAAATCAACCAGAGACAAAAAATCATCCAAAATATCCGCATTTAAACTGGAAAGGTGAGTAAAATATATTAAATATTAAAATAAGGATTAAATTTTATAATATATATTTTAATTGGATGACAAGCGATCATGAACGGGGGGCTCGTTTTATGGTATTTTTTTTGGAAAACAGAATTCTGAACTAAATATTTCCATATATAACATGTTATTTGGACTTATTTACTAATTCAATTTTTACTTATTTATTTATTATTTATATTTATTACAAAATATAAGTCATTTATTATAATTCAGAATTGTAATAAATTTAGCAAATATTCAAAATATGATTTGATATTAATTCACAATATAATTATTGATAGTATCTGTAGTTTTACAATGTTCCACATTATGTGTTGTCATCAATGGATTATTTTGAGATACAGAAACTTTTGAGTTAATTATATTAATTAATGATTGACTAAGATTGCCACTCTTCTTGAGTACATTAAAGAATTCAGTATCATCTATAAGTAGTTGTAAGAAAAAGTGGAAAAAGTTTTCCCATACTGGTGAATAAAATACTTGAGAACCTTTGACTGGAAGTAGTTGAGCCAAATCTCCAACTAATAATAATAAAAATTGTCATTAAAAAAAAATTGTAATTTGGTCCACACGAATGATATATGAGTGAAAATTTAAATTCAAGCATTCCTATACCTAGGGAACAATTTCACTTAGTCGCCATATGCCAGTTTTCTTGATCAAAGCCACAGAAATAATTTTACAAATTTCTAAGAAGAATAAAAAAAATTCGTAGGCATATTGCATAAAAAAAATATTGTAATTTGGTCCACACGAATGATATACGAACGAAAATTTAAATTCAAGCTTTTCTATACCTGGGGAACAATTTCACTTTGTCGCTCAATGCCAATTTTCTTGATCAAAGCCACAGAAATAATTTTACAAATTTTCTAAGAATAAAAAATTTGTCATTAAAAAAAATGTAATTTGGTCCACATGAATGATATACGAGCAAAAATTTAAATTCAAGCATTTCTATACCTGGGAAATAATTTCTCTGAGTTGCTCAACGCCAGTTTATTATAGTTTAAAGCTTTTTTTTTTTATTTTATTTTATTTTATTTTTTTTTTTTGATAAAAGAAAGAAAATTGACAAAATTTTTTTTTTCTACCTTGTGATCTTCAAACTTGCGCAATTTCTATATTGTACTTTTAAATGTTGCGCAATTTCCATATTATGCTTCATGAAAGGGTATGTACTGTATATATAAAATTAACTGAGGTCTTTTAAATCTATTTAGACATTGAGGGAAATGATTTTCATAATCTAAAACTAAAAAACCACGGATTTCATTCCGGTTGCATGATTAAAAAAAATATAAAAGGAATTGAATACTACACTACGCTTTTTCTTAAATGGACCTTCAAATACGGAATCTTTGTGGGCACATAAAAATAAATATAAAAAAGGAATTTTATACTGTGACTTCTCCTAAAAAGATATGAAAATTTCTCAGAATATCCTTATTTTGTTTTAATTAATGAAGTGTACTGTAAAAGTTATATTATGTATATATAAATAAATAGATAATCAGCACTTATTTCCAAATTTATGAACAATCAATGCATTCAAAATGGGCTATTTTTTATGTACCTACATTATTTACATCATTTTGACAAAAAAAATAAAAAAATGCACGCCCACAGTGGTGTAAATTAGCCTCCAAAATATTAAAAATATACTATATAGATATTTCTAAATCAATAAATGGATTTTTTACGATCAATCAAATAAATAAAAATAAAATAAATTCAACAAGCCATATTTATAAAATATGTCTAACGAAAGCACTATTAATTGTTTATTTCCAATAGCTCTAATAGACGACACTTTTCAATCCCAACTTTCTTTTGATTACGAAATGTCTCTTCATCATGAACAAGATACAATAACTGGAACCATGTTATCTCTTATTTATGAACAAGATATAGATACTCAAACTACATCCTCCATTATCGATGAACAAAAAATTCAAATTGAATCCAATACACCTTCTAATGCACATGCAAAAAGTAATGTTTGGGATTATTTTACTAAGCCATATGGACCACCCAAAAGTCTCAAAACAAAATGTTCTATTTGTAAAATCGAAATTTCATATCATGGTTCACCTTCCTCATTAAAACACCATTTGAATAATAAACATAAAAGACAATTACAACAAATTCCAAGTCAAAAATCAAATTTTTCTCCTTATTCTGAACCACCTTTTCTTTCTGAGAATGAAGGAGCTATTGTGTTTATTAAGGATTTATTTGAATTTTCTATTGGTGATCCAGCAAAACAGGTTTTAGATATGCGACCAATTATGATCAAAAATTACATAATAGAATATAAAAAAAATCCAGCTGAAATTCTATATGAAATGATTAGGTATCCATCTCATTATTGGTTCACTAGCCTCATAGGATATTTTTACCAGCACGGAATTGGGACAGTTGTTGATAATCAAATGGCTTTTAAATTCTTTAATTTAGCAGCCAATGTAATAATTGATATAAAGAATACCTCCTCAAATCTTTTAATAAGAAAATTTTACAAAATTAACAAAGAAATGGGAAATATCTATCTTGCACGTATGTACAGAGATGGTATAGGAATTGAGAAAGATTTGAAAAAAGGATTTCAGATCTATGCGAAAGTTGCAGATGAAGGGTCCCATATAGCTTTAAATAGTGTGGGATATTGTTATAGGATAGGATTTGGTGTTGTAAAAAGTGTAAAAAAAGCATTTGAATTATATTTAAGATCTGCAGAAAAAGGAAATCTTGTAGCACTATCTAATGTTGGTTGGTGTTGTGAAAATGGAATAGGAATAACAAAAGATGAAACTAAAGGTTTTCAATGTCGAATAAAATCTGCTCGTTCTGGAAATATTAGTGCAATGTGCAGTGTCGGGTATAGTTATGAAAATAGTATTGGCGTGGGTAAAGATGAAAAAGAAGCATTTAAATGGTATCTGAAGGCCGCTGAAAAAGGATATTCTATAGCTCAATATAATGTAGGCTGTTGTTATAAAAATGGTGTTGGAATTAATAGGGATGAAGTGAAAGCATTTGAATGGTATAAAAAAGCAGCAGAAAATAATTATACTAGCAGCCAATACATGCTTGGAAATTGCTTTTATGAAGGACATGGGACCAAGAGAGATATTATAAAGGCCATCTACTGGTTAAATAAAGCAAAGGAAAAGAATACATATGCCAATATATTGTTAGAAGAAATAATTAATGAAATGATGTAATAGTTAAAAATAAACGAATTTTCAATTAAATCTTCTTTTACTGTAAGAAGATTAAGACATTATTTTTTGTTAACCAATTCTCTTTTCCCAAGCGATCATATTTTTCTCATTATAAATATGCAATTTATTTTTAAATATCTTCGTAATTATATTTAAGGTAAAAAAAATTTTGTATCATCGTATTAAATAAATTAATCTTATTTAAATAAATAAATTGGGCTTAAAAATGAAATTCGAGAACTAGCCTGAGTTAGAAGCATAGTTTAAGTTATATAAACAGTCTTTCTTTTTAATGAAATGATTTCCTTTTTTCTAAATATGAAAGCATTAAATTTATAGGTATTATATTGTATTTTATTCTTTCGTTACTTCAATTTTAATTAGAAAGTAAATAAATTTTTTGCTTTACAGCAATGAAAATAAAATTTATTTATTTATTTGATAATTTATGCGTTTTCGAAGTTACATTATGTTAGCTTAAATTATAAAAGGCTTATTAACTAATGAATTTTTTTTTTTTAAGTTTATTTGGTGCAGTACACATAACAACCATTGTAATTTAGTATAATTTATCATGTTCCAAGAAAAGACACCCGAAAAATTATTGGAAACCTGGATGGAAATTTGATTATTGAAGATACTATTCAAAAGAAAATATTACACTTTATCAATATCCGAATTTGAGAATGCGAAGTTAATTGGAAGAAGTGTTTATGAAGCCAATTATGAAACGCCTCAAAAGAATGTTGCTCTTAATGATTTCTTTGAATGTTTAATATGTAGAAATAGACAAATATGAAGAACCTTTAAAAATATAAATATTGTATATATTTCATTTTATCCTTTGCAACTTTGTTTTTATTATTAAAGTTTTATGTATCGCTAAGAATGTTGATTACAAACTCTTTCTTTTTTTAAAAATTGTTGAATATATATCTTATTATTTTATTGAAACTTGAAATTAAGTATTGCATTCCTGATCTTCTTTTTAAATATATATTTATTTTTTGTATTTTAATTTTATATTTGACATATTTTTATCTTACCTTCTTCAGCAAATAAGCATCTTGGTATTTTGTGGATTCGCAGTTCAATCTAAATATTTCCTACCTTGATCTGATCTTTAAAAAATTCTTCGTAATCTTGAATGGATCTTTGATCCCGGGTTCGCGACTATGCAAGGTATGATTCTTATAATATAAAATATTTTCCTTTCTTCTTTGGGATCCGTTCTATAATTCAATGTAATAGGCAATATCTGCATTTAAAATATATATTATATATCTATAAGTAGCATAGCAAATAAAAAAAGATTGTGGAACATTACATAAGCAAGGTCAAGATTGAAGAACCTAAATTTTAATCAAGATTTATTATTTGATGATTCTTGACTGAATTATTTAATTTTTAATTTTATCTTTATTTTAGATAATTAAAGAAGTAATTCAAAATTTCTAATTTTATTTGTAATAATATAAATAATTATAGTACTTAACTAACGATTAGATGTTAAAAGTATCGATGAACTCTTTGTAAAAGGTTTTGTTATTAAATTTATTTTAGTTAAATTTTTGAGTGAGTCTATAAATTAAATATTAAGGAATCTAGATTGCATTGTGATTGAAAAATCAATTGGAAAAAAATTGTTTTTTTTTAATTTATTTCTTTTATGAATTTAAATACTATATTTTCTTGGCATGGTTAGATCTTCTAACTATTAGTTTTTTTTTTTAATTTTACTTATCTTTAACTTTAAATACTTTAAGTACTTTAGATCTAATAACGCATTGAAGATGGTTTGAATTCAATTAATTTATTAATGATTTATATATTATTTTATATTTACTTTATGAAATTAATACTTTCTTTTTTTTTTATCTATACAGTTACTAATTTTATCATTATATTTTTTTTGGATTGAAATGGCGATGAACTAATAAAAATAATATTTCGATAGTGTTTGTACATTTCATTTTATTCTTCTAATATTTTTACAAATATTTGCATTGCTTACATTGTTTCTTTTACTCTAGATAACTTAGGCCAAATTAGGAGATTTAATTAATATTAAAAATCAACCAGAGACAAAAAATCATCCAAAATATCCGCATATTTAAGCAGGAAAGGTAAGTAAAATATATTAAAAATTAAACTAAGTATTAGATTTCATAATAATATTTTAAAACGAAAAATAAAAGTAGAATATTTATGCACTGGGAAATTAGATAAATAATGAAGTGAAGTGTAAAATTTATATTATGTATACATAAATAAATAGATGAATAACACCTATTTATTAACTAATTTATGAACAATTAATGAATATTTGAACAAAATATGTACCTATTTTGTGGCACAAAACGATCACTTTATGCACGCCCACAGTGGTGTAAATTAGCCTCCAAAAATATATATTTCTAAATCAATAAATGGATTTTTTTTTAATCAAATAAATAAATAAAAAAATAAATCCACAGCAGCCATATTTATAAAATATGTCTAACGAAAGCCGTATTAATTATTTATCTCCAATAGGCGACACTTTTCAATCCCAACTTTCTTTTGATTCTGAAATTCCTCTTCATCATGAACAAGATACAATAACTGGAACCACGTTATCTCTTATTTATGAACAAGATATAGATACTCAAACTACATCCTCCATTATCGATGAACAAAAAATTCAAATTGAATCCAATACACCTTCTAATGCACATGCAAAAAGTAATGTTTGGGATTATTTTACTAAGCCATATGGACCACCCAAAAGTCTCAAAACAAAATGTTCTATTTGTAAAATCGAAATTTCATATCATGGTTCACCTTCCTCATTAAAACACCATTTGAATAATAAACATAAAAAACAATTACAACATATTCCAAGTCAAAAATCAAATTTTTCTCCTTATTCTGAATCACCTTTTCTTTCCAAGAATGAAGAAGCTAGACTGTTTATTAAGGATTTATTTGAATTTTTTATTGATGATCCAGCAAAGCAGGTTTTAGATATGAGACCAATTATGATCAAAAATTACATTAAAGAACATAAAAAAAATCCAGCTGAAATTCTATATGAAATGATTAGGTATCCATCTCATTATTGGTTCACTAGCCTCGTAGGATTTTTTTACCAGTACGGAATTGGGACTGTTGTTGATGATAAAATGGCTTTTAAATTCTTTAATTTAGCAGCCAATGTAATAATTGATATAAAGAATACCTACTCAAATCTTTCAATAAGAAAATTTTACAACATTAACAAAGAAATGGGAAATATCTATCTTGCACGTATGTACAGAGATGGTATAGGCATTGAGAAAAATTTAAAAAAAGGATTTCAGATATATTCTAAAGTTGCAGATGAAGGGTCCCATACAGCTTTAAATAGTATGGGATATTGTTTTGGGATGGGATTTGGTGTTGAAAAACGTGAAAAAAAAGCATTTGAATTATATTTAAGATCTGCAGAAAAAGGAAATCTTGTAGCACTATCTAATGTTGGTTGGTGTTGTGAAAATGGAATAGGAATAACAAAAGATGAAACTAAAGGATTTCAATGTCGAATAAAATCTGCTCGTTCTGGAAATATTAGTGCAATGTGCAGTGTCGGATATAGTTATGAAAATAGTATTGGCGTGGGCAAAGATGAAAAAGAAGCATTTAAATGGTATCTGAAGGCTGCCGAAAAAGGATATTCTATAGCACAACATAATGTAGGCTATTGTTATAAAAATGGCGTTGGAATTAATAGAGATGAAGTGAAAGCATTTGAATGGTATAAAAAAGCAGCAGAAAATAATTACACTAATAGCCAATACATGCTTGGAAATTGCTTTTATGAAGGACATGGAACTAAGAGAGATATTATAAATGCCATCTACTGGTCAAATAAAGCAAAGGAAAATGGGGATACAGATGATGAATTATTAGAAGAAATAATAAGTAATATAATACAATAGTTAAAGATAAACAAATTTTTAATTAAATCTTTCTTTTACTGTAAAGGTGATTATGACTAAAACCTCTTTTCTGAGTCATCATATATTTCTCATTAGAAATATACAATATATTTTTAAATATCGTCGTAATTATATTTAAGGTAAAAATAATTTTATATCATTGTATTAAATAAATTAGTATAAATTAATCTTACTTAAATAAATAAATTGGACTAACAAATGAAATTCGAGAACTGTCTGAATTGTTTGCATAATTTTAAGCTATATAAACAGTCTTTTCTTTTTAATAAATGGTTTCCTTTTTTCTGAAGATGAAGATGACGGCATTAAATTTATAGATATTAAAATGTTTTTAATTAAAATTGATGTAACAAAAAATAAAATAAGTAAATAAATTTTTCGCTTTGCAGCAAAATAAAATTTATTTATTTAATAATTTATGCGTTTTCAAAGTTACACGATACAATCTTAAATTATAAAAGGCTTATTAAATAATGAAATTCTCTTTATTTGGTACAGTCATATATAAATTGTCACATTGCACCAACAGTCATTGTAATTTATCATGTCCCTAGAAAAGACAACCGAAAAAAAATGGGAAATCTGGATGGACAAGTTGATTATTGAAGATACTATTTAAAAGGAAAATATTCCATTTTTATCAATATTCCGAATTTAAGAATGAGAAATTGAATGATAGAAATGTTTATAAAGCCATTTTTTTTGAGTTTCAAAAATCCTTGAATGATAAATTTACACTTGATAATTTAAGAAATTATTTATTCTATAACTTGAATTTGCGGTTAATATTTCACACCATTTTAAATCGAAAAGATTAAAAGATAAGACATCGAAAATTGGAAACTCATGATAGTATTCTAGATATTATTAATTGCTTATTTATTTATTTACATATTTTTTTTATTATTTTAATTTTTATAGAAATACCAACATTATATGATTGTCCGTGAATAATTACAATAAAAGTTCTTTTCGTAAAATGGCGAATTTAAATCTTATGTACAAATTGACATTCATTCACAGAAAGCTATAATTATTTCTACTAAGAAAATCCACAAATGTATTATTTTTAATTTTAATCGATTTAAATTATTTTTTACGACTCTGAAAATATTCTTTTAAAGCAATGTTCCTCCATTGTGAATAAGTTTTTGGATTACTAAAATATGCACGATTGCAAAAATGAGAGTTCTCTAAGAATTGTTCTTTGGGAGATTTCTAGTGATAATCGTCCTTTTGAAATGGAATTCTAGTCGGATGTTGATTCGGAAAAAGAGAAAGGGTTATACCTGAAATACTTCATAATACAAGGAAGTATATACTGTATTAATTTAAATAATAAATTAAAATCATTTATATTGTTACATAATAAATTATTAATGTAATATTTTTGACAGATAGCTGAAAACACACAACCAGCCAACATATGTGTTGAGGAATAGGGATAAGCCTATAAAAATGGGCAAATATAAAAAACCATTGTAGATTTTAGTGGATCGAGCCTAGTAATGTTTGTGATGATTAGTTGGGAGAAACGCATGTAGAAATAGACAAATATGAAGAATCTTTAAATTAAATATAAGAAATTATTACTATATAACTTATTTATAGAGTCATTGCATTTTCGAGTCAAAAGTAATTTTTACGATCTTTTATCCTAAAAAGAAATTTAAAACAATTTTTGATTTTTTTGAAGTTCAATATGTTCTAATTAGTGGAGAAATATTTATTAGTTATTAAAGTTTAATAATTAGTTTAGATATTTCAAAGATAGTTCCATCTGGAAATTTTTTTAGGCGCAAATCTACATATTTCGGAGATTTACGACTTGTGCAAGTTTAAATAAATGGAGAAATAAAAATATCAGATATATCTCATTTTATCCTTTACAGCTTTGTTTTATTTTATCGTTAAGAAGCAGAAATGTCGATTCCAAATTCTTTCTTTTTTTACATATGCTCAATATTATTTTGTTTAAGCTTGAAATTGTGTATTTCATTCTTGATGACTTTGGAAGGTAAATCTTATTTTTTTTTTTTATATATTTATTTTTTTATATTTTTGATTTTGTGTTTGGAATATTTTTATCTTACTTAACTTCTTCTTCAAATTAAGCATTACTTGACATCTTGGAATTTTAGGATTCGCGGATCGATCTAAATATTTCCTACCTTGATCTGATCTTAAAAAATTCATTGTGATCTTGAACGTTTGAGTAATATCTGTGATCCTGGGGTCGTTACTGTGCAAGGTATAATTTTTTATAATTTAAAAAATATTTTCATTCCTTCCTAGGATCTTTTATATATATTTAATATTTGTAAGTAGCAAATAAAAAAAGATTCCAGAACATCACATAAGCAAGGCGATCACAATATACAAATTAATGAAGAACCAAAAATTTAAAATCAAGATTATGATTTCGATGATTTATAACTGAACTGCTTAATTGAATTCTAATTTTATCTTTTATTTTAGATATTAAAAGAATTAATTTGTAATTATATAATGAATTATGGCATGATACTTCACGATTAGATAGAAAAGGTATTGTTTTTATAAATCATTGTAGTTAAATTTTTGAGTGATTCTATAAATTAAATAATTATATCATTGGTTATTTATTGAAATATTAAGAAGTGAATCTAGATTGTATTGGTGATGTGGTTAATTAGGAAAAATCCTTTGTAAAAGTTTGTTTCCTTTTAATTTTTTCTTTCACGAATTTAAAATTTATGTTTTCTTTGCAAGGTTAGATTTTCTGTTTTTTATTTTTTTAATTTTTTTTTAACTTTAAATACTTTAAATATTTTAGAAAATGGTTCAGAACATCTAATAATACCAAAATATCAATAGAATAGAAGATTGTTCGAATTTAATTAATTAATTTAATAATTTAAATATTTACTTTGTTAAATTAATTCACTTTTATTTATTTAATGCAATTACTAATTTCGCATTATATGTTTTTTTTCAGGTTGCAATGATGATGAAATAATGCATCTAATATATTCAATAGTGTTGTATATCTTTTTTTATTCTTTTAATTGCATATATATTTTTTCAAATATTTGCATTGCTTACATTATTTCTTTTACTCTAGGTAATATAGGTGGAATTAGAAGATTTAAGTGATATTAAAAATCCACAAGGGGCTAAAAATCTACCAATATATCTGCATATTTAAGTTGGAATGGTGAGTAAAATAAAAATAAGGATTGGATTTTATAATGTACATTTTAATTAAAATTTCTTTAATTTAGGAGGAGGGAATAGTATGAAAAAGAAAGTAGTATGGGTACTTAGATAATTAACAAAGTATGCCGTAAATTTTATTTTATTTATATATTCTGACATTTATCATAAATAATGAATAATTAATTATTTATTATTGGATAATTCAATTTTATGTTTATTGCTCTAAAAAAAGTAAAAAGCAAATTATTTGCCGTACCTATTTTGGTAATCATGACAATCACTCTGCGGTATTTGACAAAAAAAAGTATATGGTGCAAATTAGCCTCCAAAAATATTAAAAAAGATGCTTTATATATTTCTAAATCAATAAATGGATTTGGATTTGATTTTTTAGAATTAATCAAATTAATTTATTCAACAGCGGCCATAATCTATAAGAAAAATTAACATGTCTAACGAAAGCAGTATTAATTATTTCTCTCCAATAGACGACACTTTTGAATCTCAGTTTTCGTTTAATTCTGTAACATCTCTTCAACATGAAAAAGACATAATAAATGGAACTATTTCGCCTCTTATCCGTGAATAAGATACATCATCTCAATCTACATCCTCCATTATTCATGAACAAGAAATTCAAATTGAATCCGATGCATATGCAAATAAAAAACTTTTTATTTTAATAAGTAAGTATCAAAAATGTCATTAAGTAACTACAAAGACAAGAGGAAATTACATATTATGTAAAATGGACAGGTTTATATAATTAAAATTGAGAGAATTATGGACAGATAAATTTAAATGGACAAAAATTTTAAAATATCAATTATTCACTCGATTTTGTTGATATAAGTCTGTTCTCTTTATATAATATGCAAAATATTCTTATATTTAAGGTTACATAGTACCGTTTTTGATATGCACTTATAAAATAAAAAGTTTTATATGTGCCAACTATCGACGATTTTATATATCGTTACTTTTTATAAATTCAAGCAATAAAATCCAAAATTATATATAGAATATTCGAATCCATAAAAAAATTCGAATCCACAAAAATATTTGAATATTTTTATGTATTCGGATTGGATTCGGATTGATCCGAATACACTAAAAATCGGATTCGGATTTTAAAATGTTGGATCCGTATTTAATGAATCCGGATCGGATTTGAGGAGAATGAATTTCGGATATATCCGATTATTGGTAAAAATCCGATCCGATCTGGCTTTGTGGAACCATACCAGCAAACCAGATTTTAGGAATACAACCATGATCAAAGATTACATTAAAGAATACAAAAAGAATCTAACTGAAATTTTATATGAAATAATTAGGTATCCATCTCATTATTGGTTCACTAGTCCCATATGATTTTTTTACCAGCACGGAATTGGGACTGTTTTTGATAATCAAATGGCTTTCAAATTCTTTAATCGATATAAAGAACAACTCCTCGAACCTTTTAATAAGAAAATTTTACAAGATTAACAAAGAAATAGGGTATATCCGTCTTGCAGATATGAACTTAGATGGTATAGATAGTGTTTCCAACCTTCGGGACAATGTTGGGACAAAATTTTTTTTTTTAAAATGTAAATGCACAAAAGTATACATAAAAATCTGCTTGAGGCTATTAATTAAAGTTGTTTGAAATTGATTTTTATATATATCTATAAAAATTTTAATATCCATTTATGGGTTGGTTAAGGGTAGGAACAATGGGATATGGGACACAGGGACAGTCAAAAAAGCTGGGGACATGCAAATTTGACAATGGGTTTAGGTATTGAGAAAGATTTGAAAAAAGCATCTCAGATATATTCTAAAGTTGCAGATGAAGGGTCTCATATTGCTTTAAATAATATGGGATATTGTTATGAGATGTTGGAAAAGTGAAAAAAAAATCATTTGAATTATATTTAAAATCTGCTGATCAAGGCAATATTGTAACCATATCTATTATTGGTTTTTGTTGTGAAAGGGTAAAAGAAAATTAATATGTAGATGAAACTAAAGGATTTCGATGTCTTATAAAATCTGCTTGTGCTGGAAATACTAATATAATGTGCAATGTCGAATATTGCAATGAAAATAGTGTTAGATGAAAAAGAAGCATTTAAATGGTACCTGAAGGCTGCTGAAAAAGGAAATTCCATAGCACAATGTAATGTAGGAAATTGCTATAGACTTGGTTACGGAATTAGTATTGATCAGGCGAAAGCATTTGTATGGTATGAAAAAGCTGTAGAAAATAATCATACTAAAAGTCAGACAGGTTGGAAATTGCTTTTATGGAGGATATGGGACTAAAGAAGATATTATCTATCTACTGGTTAAATGAACAAATTTCAATTAAATCTTTCATTTACTGTAAAGATGATTATGACATTATTTTTTAGTTAACCAACCCTCTTTACCAACAATCAAGTATTTCTATATATTTATCATTAGAAATATGCAATATATTTTTTAAGTATTCGTCATAATTTTAAAATAATTTATATTTTAAAAAAATCAGTAATAAATAATCTTATCAAAATAAATAAAATCCGAGAACTAGCCTGAGTTGTTTGCATATTTTAAGCATAAACAGTCCTTTCTTTTTAATAAAATGGTTTCCATTTTCTTGAAGATGACAGTATTAAATTTATAGGTATTACATTGCCTTAAATTAAATTGAAGTAACAAAAGAATAAGATAAGTAAATAAATAGTTTTCACTTTACAACGACAAAAAAAATTTATTTATTTGGTCGGTTATTTATGTGTTTTCAAAGTTACACTATACAGGTTTAAATTATAAAAGGCTTATTTTAATAGATTAACTAGAAATTTTTGGATATGGTGACTTTGTCGCCGCCATGGGATTAAGATTTATACATATAATTGGTTGTATAATTTATTAATGTTCAAATACAATTATAGTAAAATTAAAATAAAAATTATAACTGAGTAAATTTAATGTAGTGTTTAAATATTGGTAATTAAGAAATATTTTGT